ATAAATACTGTGCTTTCCCTGCATTGCCGAATGAATGAATTTTTCACTGATAGATATTCTAGGGAACTATATTGGGTTTTTTAAATTCTTTTACATTTTGTTTTTAAAGTGTGGCTGTCTAATAAGAAGCACTAATCACCAAAGAACTTACTAAATTTGCTTAAACACTCTGAAATTTTTTTCCTCTAAAGTCATAAACTGGAAAAAAAAAAGTGTTCTGAGGAATTACCAAAAACCCTCCACAACCTTGACCTCTTCCAGCAGCTGATTAATTAGAGTTACTGTTAAAATAAGCTCTGACTGTTTCAAATGCAACATCCAGGATTTGGATGGAACTTTTTTGAGCTGGGAGATGTTTACTAGATCTGAGGTATGTGTTTTGTCTTTGTGTCCTTTGGTGTGATAAAAACCAGGAAGTGGGAAGATCTGACAAGCTTCACTTGGCTGGGCTAAAATGATTTCGTTTCTTCCTGTACATTTTTGTGTCAAACTTTAGGTATATCACATTCACAGAATAAGGACAAAAAATAACTGACCATTCTTAACAGATGCAGAAAAAGCATTTGACAAAGCCCAGTACTCTTTCATGATAAAAACTCTCAGTGAACGAACACAGAAGGGAATGAACGTCCTCAACCTGAGAAAAGGCATCTACATAAAAATGCCACATCTGGCTCACGATGTGTCTACTCTTTCTGCTTCTACTCGGCATTGTACTACAGGTTAAGGCCAGGGTGACAAGACGAAGAAATAAACAGCATGAAATTACAAAGGGAGAAGTGAAAGTGCCTCTATCCACATATGACAGGATCCTAGAACATGAACACATAACTAATAAGTGAGTTCAGCAGGGTTGTATGATACAACATCAGGGCGAAAACGCTTATCTGATTGTTACACTGTCTACTTCAAAGTGAAATTTAAGGAGCAATTCCAACTACAATAGCATCAAAAAGAATAAAATATGTAAGAATCAACCTAATAAAAGAAATTCAAAACTTGTGCCTCAAATCCACAAAATGTCATGGAAAGAAATTAAAGTAGGTGGACACGAATAGGAAGGCATCCCATGTGCACAGACTGAAAGACTTAGCAGTGTTGGAATGGCGATAGTCCCCAAGTAAACTACAGACTCAGTGTGGTTCCCATTGAAATTCCAGCTGGCATTTCTGCAGAAATCGGCAAGGTAACCCCAAAATTCAGAGTTTAGGAGTGCGAGTGCAAGGGGCCTGCAAGAACCAGAAGAGTTTTCCATAAGGAGAACAGCTTTTCAGGAGTCACATGTCATGATGCAAAACTTACTACAAAGCTGCTATAGTCAAGACAGTGGGGCACTGACCTACAGATCAGTAGAAGACAGTTGCGAGTCCAGAAATAAACTCTCACACTTGATTTTCCTGAAAGTGCTGAGATAAGTCAACCACAGGGGAAGGGATGTGTTTTTGACAGATGGCACCAAGATGACTGTGCAGCCACGGGAGAATGAAGTTGACTTGTACCTCATAGCATCTGCAGAGATTAACTCGAAATGGATCATTGATTTAAACGTAAGGGCTTAAAGCATCAAACTCTAAGAGGAAGTCTTTATGACCATGAGTTAGGAAGTGGTTTCTTAAATATGATAGCAAAAGTGCAAACAACAGAGAAAAAATAAACTGAATTTCATCAGAATTTTAAAAACATTTGTGCTTCACTTAACATCATCCAGAAAGTAAGAAGAACACTTGTAACTTAGCAATAAAAATCACAAATATCTTAATGAAAAAAATAGACTAAGGGTTTGAATAGCCATTTCTCCAAGGAAGGTGTATAACAAATTCATTAAAAGATGCTCAACTTCATTAGCAATGAAAGAATCACAAGTCAGAACCACAACGAGATAGCACTTCATGCCCATTGGGTGGCTACCACAGAGACAGTGGCATGTGGCACATAGAGCCCATGTTCATCGGTGAGGGGACACCTGCTGATTCGGATATTTTGGAATACAGTTGGACAATCCCTCAAGGAGTCAAGCATACAGTAGCCATATGACGCAGCACTTCCAGTCATGATATATACTCATGAAAATATATGGCCATGCACGTACACACACACACGCACACACACACAATGACAATAGCAAAACTTGTACCTGAATATGCAGGGCAGCATTATCACAGAAGTGGAAAGAGTCCTGTCATCCACCACCTGATGAGTGGGAAATGTGATCTGTGCAGTGGAGTATTATTTTATCAATGATAAAAGAAAATGAAGGCTTGATAAATGCTACAACATGGTTAACCCCATCATTTTATGTGAAGGAAGCCAGTATCAAAAGACTACATACTGCATGGTTTTATTATATGAAATGTCCAGAATAGGCAAAGTAATAGAGGCAGAAAATAACTTAATGGTTACCAGGACCTGAGCGTCGGGAATAAGAGAAGTTACTGTTAGTGCTCATGAGTTCTGGGGGTGCAGTATCTAAAATTGCATGCTGGTAATAATTGTGCAACTCTGAATACATTAAGGGCCATTGAATCATATACTTTAAAAGGATAGATTTTCAAAATACCAATAACATTCTTCACAAAGATGGAGAAAACAATCCTAAACTTCATGTGGAACCAGAAAAGACCCAGAATAGCAAAAGCAATTCTAGGTAACAAGAGCAAAGCTGGAAGCATTACAATCCCAGACCTGAAGTTGTGCTACAAAACCATAGTGATAAAAACAGCATAATACAGGCACAAAAAGAGACAGATGAATCAGTGGAACAAAATAAAGGATGCAAAAACAATCCCAAGCACATTCAGCTAACTGATCTTTGAAAAGGGGACCAAGAACACACAATGGAGTAAAGATGGCCTCTTTAATAAATGCTGCTGGGAAACAGCAGGCTGTACACATGCAGAAGACTGAATCTAAACCCATATCTCTACTGTGTACTAAACCAAAATGAAAATGGATCAAAGATTTAAGTGTTAAAACAGACACATTTACCCTGCTGGAAGATAAAATAAGTAAAACTCTTGATGTCATAGGCATAGGCAAGGACTTTATGAACAGAACCCCAGTTGCACAGGAAATAGTACGAAGAGCCAACAAATGGGATCAAAGCAAATTTAAAAGCTTCTGCACATCAAAAGACACAATCAACAGAATGAAGAGACAACCTACAGACAGGGAAGAAATTTTGTTAGCCATTCCTTAGACAGAGGACTAGTATATCAAGTATATGGAAAAACTCAGAAAATTAGGCCTCCCAAAATACCCCCACAATGGAAAACTGAAATAAATAGACACTCCTCAGAATAAGAAGTACAAGTGGCCAATAAGTAGATGAAGAAATGCTGAACATCACTAATGATTAGAGAAATGTCAATTAAAGTAACATTAAAATTCCACCTTACCTCAGACAGAATGGCTATCATCAACAATTGAACTAATACAGATGATGGTGAGGTCTTGGAGAAAAAGGATCCCTTTTGTATCGTGTGAGTGGGAACATAAACTAGTACAACCACTGTGGAAATTAGTATGGAGATTCCTCAAAAAAATAGAAGTAGAAGTTCCATTCAGCCCAGCCATTCCCCTTCTAGGTCTCTTCCCAAGAGTTAAAGACATCATGTTACATATCCAGGTTTATAGCAGCACAATTCATGATAACTGAATCTTGGAGCAGGCCTATATGTCCATCAGCAGATGAATGCATGAAGAAAATGTGATATTTACAAATGTTGGCATACTTTCTGCCATAACGGATAAGCTTGGTCATTTGTAGGAAAAGGGTTGCACCTTGAGACCATAATGTTAAGTGAAATAAATCAGACACACGAGCTTTGAGATCACATGGTTTCTTGTATATGAGAAACCCAAATTATAAATATAGAGCAAAATAAAAGACAGATAATGGGAAGTAAGGAGATAGGACTTTCTCCATTGGGAAAGGGATGAAGAGATGGAGGGAGACGGAAAGGGGGAGAGAAGAAGGGAACAAAAGATGAATTAAGATGTGTTATGTACATGTGCCAGCTCCCCACAAGGATCGTAATCATTATGTACTGTAAACATATACAAAAAAGATACTTTTACTACAAAAATAAATAAAAGGGTAGATTTTATGGTGTGTGAATTATATCTTAACAAAGCTGTTGTCAAAAGCTTTGTTCACGTGTGGAGGTTAGAATCCTGGGTGTCTTTATAAGGTGCTACTGAAACTAATAATACAGGTCAGAGTACACAGAGAACAGCTTATTTGCTTAAAATTTTCTCCATCCTGATATTTTTATTTTTTGGATGGAAGCTAGAAATGGTTTTGTATTGCTGACATCAACATTTTTATTGCTTCATCATTTCTGTAGCCATGGATAAGGGAACAGATGGTAGCCTTAAAAGAGAAATGTTCAGTTCAGGAGAGAGAATTTTATCTTTGGCTGCTACCTTTTGAAATGATTTAGATGCATGATTTTCATGTATATTTCAAAAACTAACAACATAGGGAGAAGTTGGGTTTCTTAATAGAATTTCAAACCAGGGACTTTTGGTGAAGGTGAAAATGTCTTTTCCATGAGATCCTAGGACCAGATTTGTTTGGTGGGGGGGATATATTTGCTCTTCTTGTGGAAAATCTCACCTGCAGTTCTTTTTTAAAACCCATTTTCTATGACTTAGAGCCCTTTTATAAAAGCAAGGTATCGTCAGAGTGTTTTGAAAGCTGGTGCTGTTCTGGTCAGAGTGTGTGGCATGCTGTTGCTGTCATCGTGGAGGGAACGGTGGTCCACACCCAGTGTTGTGTGTAGTGAAGTGATTACCTTTGCGTTGCCTTGGAATATTGATTTGGAAGAAGAGGCTGGGACCCCTGTGCGTCTGTCCTTTCACCCCGTTTTCACTCTGCACATGTGTACCACACCGTGGCAAAGAGTATGTTTCTGGTTGGGAATCGGGCTGGTGACTGGCAGTGCAGGGAAAGAGTGTCCTTTTCCTTCCTTCTCAACCACCACCTCCGTTGCCCGCAGGAAGATCTGCCTGCACTGCAAGTGTCGCCAGGAGGAGCACATGGTGACCGTGATGCCGCTGGAGATGGAGAAGACCATCAGCAAACTCATGTTTGACTTCCAGAGGAGCTCGACCTCCGACGATGACTCGGGCTGTGCCCTGGAGGAGTACGCCTGGGTCCCACCGGGGCTGAAGCCCGAGCAGGTACTGTCCCGGGAGCAAGGGCACTGCGGTGTGCGTAAGTAAGGCTGTGACCCGCTGGTCCTTCCACACTCCCGCTGGAGAAGGAAGGGGCCAGTTTGCTGACGCAGAGTCTAAATGAGGTAAAGATGCCAGGGCCTCGGTGGGAAATGAGGACGCCTGGAGTGATCCTTGTGATTCATTCCTGTTGCTACTATTAGCTCCTCACAGGCTGTCTACAAACATCTCAGAGATGTAGGCTTTCAAATGCTGAGTGGCGAAACATCATTTCTGGTGGGGAGAAGAGGAGATACAGCTCTGACCACGCACGAGTCTCGATACTCAGGGTCTTCTAAGAGAGACAGCGTGGCCTTGCCTCATTCTGCCCAGTGATCTATGCTGTGTTTGACACTGACGATGCCTGAAATATTTTGGCACTGCCCTCAAGCCATAAATGTTACCAGCTTGATGAGGAGAACTTGGTTTCTTTCCACTGTGATGCACTTTCCTCAGTGATATGCAAATTTGCTTTGCGTTTCTTGGTACTTGGAACTTTCTCTTCTGTTGGCCCTAGTTGGCTTAGCAGCAGTCTGCAAGGCGGGGATTCTTGACACCTTCCCTGTGAGCTGTGGTTGTCTTCCCCCGGCCCACTGCATTTCCGACAGAAGCTTTTAGCGTTGGACAGCCCAGAAATTGTATGTCGGGAACTTTAGGTGTGATGATGGTCCGGAAAGAGTTCTTTATAATTAAGGCAGACCCAAGAATTCACTGATAATGTCAGCAGGGTGGGCCTGTTTCCGTAAAGACTGGCTTAGTGGAGAAGTATTCAAAAGGGTGACAACACCCGCATGCTTGTCTAGAAGCTCAGGTGAGACGGCAGCTGGCTGATCACCTCTAATGCTGTCACTGCTGCCAGTGTGAGCCCCCCACACACACTGTGAGCCAGCCCCTTACTCCAGCAACTTCTGCAGGACCCGTATTTCTTTTGCTTACTTGAGCAACATGGCTTCCTGCTCAGTTGTGTGCTGCATTTTCCAAAGGGAAGCTATTTTCAATTTCCTGTCTCAATAGAGTCTTCTCTAAAACCATTAAACATCACTCTGAGATACTCAGATCCAGAGAAAACTTTCTACTCACCTTGACCCCAAAGCATAGACAGTTGCGAAGGCTGGAATCCTGATTAAATCCACCAGTTCCAACTAAGAATCTATGATATTTTTAGAGGACACTTGACTCATCCAAAATGAATGTCTTTGGGAAAGCATAAGACTGAAATTTCTTTGATTTGTTGTGAAAGGAAATGATTAATGCTATTAAACAAAGGACTAGAATTATGCCAGAGGAGAGGGTATCCCATCTATTATAATTCTGTTGTTCCTGGGAAGACTTTCTGTGTTCCCTGCGCTTACTCAAACCTACATGACGCAGACGATTAGAAAGGAGATTACTCTCCAGAGGGAGAGCAGCGTTTCCAGCTATGTGAAGGGTTCTATATTTGCCCACTGCAGTGTGAGTCAATTTTAAATGTATCTGAAGGGGTCATTTTGTATGGAAGAAATGGGCCTCAGATTTTAAATTATGAGATCTCTTAAAGTCTATTATTTACAGAGCTATTTATTGATTTAAAGGTTTTTTAAGAGCTGCCTGGTTTACTTTCAGGTAGAAAAACTTAAGCCCTAAATGTCTTTCCCTAATAAAAATTCTGATGTTTAATACGTTAGTTGTCTGTGATTTGAGAAAAGCTGTTTTTCTATCAAGACAAATTATAGTATACATAAAAAATGCATTGTGCTGGAGGCAGAATATTAACGGCCAGTTAAGGATGGGAGTAATGTGCTTGCGTTTTGATGCAAAGCCTCCCTGAGCATGGGGTTGCTGATACAGACACCTTCAGGTGATATTCTTCATTATTTGATTTCTTCTGGGAAATTCCTTCAATTTAATATAATACAAATGAAAGTCATCTCCCATTTAGGAAAGTGTTCTTGAAAACGAGCATTTAATTTCATAAAAATTCCACTAGCTGCAAAAGTCACTGTTCTTAAAATAGTGTGAAAATGAGAAGTATAACAGATGACACCGAGAAGCAATGGCATTTGCCATAGGATTTTAAATGACAGCTCCAAAAACTAATCAGAACTGTGCTCAGACCCTTTGTGTCTGCTTTCTCCGAATGAGAATGTCAGTGTCACCCAGAGAGCCCTGGGGCAGCAGGACCCAGAACTGGAGTCTGCCCAGGAAGCCATTTTTAATGTTCCAATTTCCCTGAAACTCAGTCTGTATGCGCGCCTGCCCCATGTCTTAGGGGCGCCATGCTGACAGATTCACAGTAGATAATGCTTCAGGAAAGGATGTGGAAAAATCACTGACAACGCTGGAAGAAAGCAAATGCGAGCAGGGTTTCCCGACTTCAGTACTGTGGACATTTCTGATGGGTGATTCGCTGGTGTGGGTGCCCTGTGCGGTGTGGAGTGGCCCCGCCCACTAGATGCCAGTCGTGTCTCCCAGTTGCGACACCCAGGATATTTCCAAATGCTGGGGATGGGAGAACCAGGAGGTGAAAGCAGTGCTAGAAGCTCGAGGGTATCTCAGCAGTGTCTGGCCTGGTGGAGACAGAAAGTGGCTGCGTGTCGCGTGTACTTATGGAGCTCCCACATGGCAGCTGCTGCCTTGGAGACAGCTCAGTGCTGACAGAGCGCGTGCTGGAGCAGGGGCTGGTGCTTGTGAGGCTGACCCTGTCGTCTTCACCGAGTAGAAACAAGACGTACAGTGGCAGGGGAGCCCAGTGCGAGTGTGTTTGCTCTCCAAAACAGAAATAGCCCCCCACCAAGTGCTGGAGATGAACCCAGAGCCTTCTCAATGAGCAATACCCCCAGCCCTTTTTTTATTTTGATACAAGGTCTTACAAGAAACCAACATGCTGGTTGTATGAGCCCAGGCTGGGTGCATACTTCCAGTCCTCCTATCTTAGCCTTGCAGGCATGCACCAGCACACCCAGTTCAGAAGTAGCCTTTGCCTCTTTCATAAAGGGCCTTTGCCTCTTTTATATTTCTTAAAAAATAAAAAAAAAAATGAGATATCTCAAAAAGCAGATAAAAACCACCGATTTCTACCAGTCAAGGAACACTGTTTTCAACCTAGTTATGGATATGTTTAAGTATCTGTGTGTTGTAGGGAGTATGCATCTATGTCATTGTTTTGGACATGTGGTGATGCAGTCTACTTACTGTGGCTTGTTTTTTCCACGTCGTGTATTGTGAGCATTTAAATTCCAAATAGCCTTTGTAATGGTTGGATAGTTTTCCCTCCGTGGTTTGTAACTTGGAGTGGCACTGCCTACCACCAGGGGGCAGTTACTGTTAAAGGATTGGCAGATTCCACCAGCATTTGCGTTGGTCCTTGAGATGCCATATATCCTAGAAAGTCCCAGAGGATTCTGCACAAAGGAGAATCACCATTTGCAAATGCCAGGGGTGCCCCGCTGAGCACCATGGAGCTGACGGCTGGCAAGGCTGGGTTTTGTATACAGCGGCAGCTGGCCTGTGCATCCAACACTTGTGCCTGCAGTTTCTAGAGGTGGGGTGGCCAGCGTAGGCTTCCAAGGCTTCCGGTTCATTATGGCACACAGTCCCGCAGTAAGCTCAGAACTGGCCGGTGCTCTGGTGGAGCCTCATGGGACACGTGTGGGAGAGTGTCCTCTCACTCCTACGTGAAAATCCAAAGCAAAACAAAAAGTCCTCCGGTCGCTTCTCCAGAGTGAATGTCCTCTCAGTTGACATCGTGGGTCCTCGGTGTCCACGGAGGGCTCTCAGCAGGAGTACCCCAGACCCTTCGTCTCCAGAGGTTACTAATTTTACCTTGAGTTGACTTTGCATGTAAAGTGATGGGCTCTTTGTTCGGGACAGTGCCTGTCCCCTCCCGACTCCCGGAGAGACAGAGAGCAGACAGCAGGAGGACTGCCCCAGGTGTGGCTCTTGGAGCATAACTACTGTGTGATAAAGTAGATGTGAGCTAGAGACCGAGTGGACAACGTGGTCATCTCTACCAGGAGGGAATGCAGTTCCTGATCTGGCTGTTACGTCAGTCATGATTCCTATCCCTCAGGCATCAGACTAGATGTACCTCGTTATGGGGAGCTGTTTTCTTTTGTTTCTGTTTTTGTTTTAGTTTTTTGAGACAAATTCTTGCTATAGTTCAGGCTGGTTTTTAACTCACTATGTAGCCCTGGTTTTGAACTCACAGCAATGAACTGCTGCTTCAGCCTACCCAGTGCTGGGATGATAGGTGTGCGCCACCACGCCCACCCTCAAAGAGTCTCTTTGACCCACCCCCAAGGCAGGATTGGGCTCCCAGTTACACGCTTTGGGGAAAACCTGCCATTTTCCTTATTAAAGTTATCAAACTCATAACTAGATACTAACGGTGTAATTATTTGCTTAAGTCCACCACCATCCCCAGTCTAAGACCCCGAAGGACAGAGATCTCGGCTGCTTTGTCCTGCAGGAACCTTCTTCCCCTGACACCTAGTAGTGCCTGGCATGTGGCAGGCACCTTTAGAGACAGCGGACCACAGGCCCTCTGGTTGCATCACACTGGAGAGAGAGATGGACGTCGGTGAGATTCCCGCTCCATGAAGGAGGCTGTCGCTCTGCTGCCCTGTCACTGCTCCCACACCAAGCCATTCACCTTCAGGACCCTCATTTTCCTCTCTCTTAGTGATGATGTAGAAATGTGTTAGAGCCTCACTGAGAGCATGCTGTGTCCCCACACCATCTTGCATACTCACCACACATCGTCACGTTTGATTCTCATCACCGCCTTATCTGGCAGTGTTATTCCACCCCCACCGGAGAGGAAAGTAAAGCAAGGCTCAGAGAAGGAACTAGTCCTGGATCACGCAGCACAGCTAGTGAGTAATAGACAGCTCTAACCCAGACAACCAGAAGTGGGAGCCGGTACCATTAGAATTGTAGATCCCAGGATTGATCTGGCCGAATGTGAGGCAATGCTTAGAAGTTGCTCA